GTTGACCATAGTCGACAGAAATTCAGCCGAGGTCAAAAACTCTACGTCGCCTTTTACGAAACACCCTGAGTTTTGCCTTGAGTGGACTAGGGGTGGCAGTATCGCCAGCCGCTACCACACGGCATCCCCATTTATGGGCCATCCCCGAATTCGCTAAAACCCTGCTATACCATAGAAATATCATGTAAATCATGAAATACGCTGTTTCGTAGAATTTATACTAAAATGTATAGGCAAGCTAACTTCAGGAACATAATATTTATAGCCTACCACTATTTATTTTATAATTTAAATATTCTCAAGCAGAAATACTTACATCTTAATATGAATACCAGTTACCAATACCTGGAGTTCCCCGTAGACTAGCTTGCGTAAGCAACATCTCAAACAAACGAGTCAAACTACACCTTGTTTCTACATCCAATACCGAGAAGTTTGTAGTGCAAACTAATAAGTCTTATAAACACGTGTTATCGATAAAGCCGTGTGGTGTAGCCGGATGAGTTTTGTATCAGTATCTGGATTCTGGAGGGCGTAGGTACAAGTTTAAAGATATTTTTTTCTGTATCCGCGACTGCATGCCAGGCTATTCTATCACGATTTGAGCGCACAAGAAAGATGGTTTAATTCTTCCAAGAACACGTTAAGCCATCAACCCCGGTTTCTGTCTATGATTAGATTACTATAAATGACAAAAATGTTGTGGGCCAGTTAGTAAGTAAGCGGTTTCAAACTCTGATATCAGGGTTCATCGGGTCGTTGGGTATTGTACCACATGATATGAATGAGTCATCTTTATTAGCTAAGCCATGCAAATTACCGCTAGCCGGAATTCATCTTGTGTGGTAAATACCGGGTTTTTTTGCCATAACTTTTAAATCGGTAGGTAATTTTACATAAGTTTCCTCAAGCCTTGAGATGAGGTTGTCGTAATACTCAGATCATGTCATCATAAGGTCTTCTTGGATGTGGTTCACATAGTAATAAAAAGTATAATTGTGTAAATAACTGCTAGAGAACATTGGTCTCTATAAGCAGGTTTTGTCATTGAAACTTAAGATTTATTATCTTAATTAAACAATCTCAATATTGCCATGTGATGCCGGCTTAGAAAAGTATCACCCCATTTCTTTCCCGCGGGTGTCATAAGAGACGACTAAGTGACTGTAGGGTTTCCTGCATGGCTGTCCCCATAGTGATAAAAGATTTTCCTGGAAGGTGCTAAATTAATAAAAACATTTTATTGAACTATATTAAGGTCCTAAGTGAATCCCATTACTGTATAACACAACATAAATATGTTAATGGAGCGTATGACAAGTTAATTATGATTATGATCCACTTATAGTAATTACAAAATTAAAGTAATAAAAGTACCGTATTAAAACAAATGACAGAGTAATTAAATCATGGAATCGATAAAGTACTAGGGCCGTAGTTTTAGCACTACATTTATTGGCCCAAATTTTAATTTTCTTTAAAATTCACTGTAAATTATCTTAGACAAAATTTAATTCCAAAGCTACTGCAGATAATTCATAGGCCAGTCTTGTCTTCTGTTCATCGCACACAGCTCATTAAATAAAAGACCCATTTCAGTCGTGTATGAAAGTAGGTCAGACTCAACCGCCGCCCTAGCCTAGCTACGCGTAAACGCTATATTAGCAAGAGTCGGTGACGCTACAAACTAACTTAGTCATGGCCACTAGAGATGCGACTTTTCTTTTTTTGACGTATGGATATGGCACTTAGTCGGCGAACGACCCGATGGACTTGTGTTTTTCAACCGCCTATAATAATAAGTTAAGTGTATGAAAGTCAACCTCAAACGCCGCTCTGGCTACGTGTCTTGACCAAACTTTGTCACACATATATCACGCATATATCCCTTGCGGGGTAGACAGAGCAGAAGCGGATGTAAGAACCGGTCATTTACACCATGTCTGACAAAAGTTTGAGAGTCATTCAGACAGAAGACTGTGTATCACCATAGTAACAGGTTGTCAGCATGTCGCCTAAAATTAAAATACACATCAACTCTCAAATCCCTTAGTCATTTCTTACGACACCCACGGGAATGCTGGGTGATGCTATTCTAAGCCGGCACGACACGGCAAAAAACTGAACACCTTTTGATTATTCATTTGTAGCATCTCTATTACCCACTTATCGAACCAGTGCAGTGGTGTTATGATATGACGACTGACTCCTTAGCAATTGACATGCTTCAGCGTTTCTCATAATGCTCGCTTGTTTATTTATGTCTGGCTTCTTGAAAACGATTCTTCAGAGCTCCCACGCATTACTGCAAATCGGAAATAGCTTATGACAAATAGTTAAAGTAGGTAAGTACCTACATAACTAAAAACACTTTATCGGCATATTCAAAACACATCAAAGGAAAACTTAAACCTAAAAATGCACAATGGCCTTATCGCTGGAAGCGATCTCTACCAGACAACCTTTGGGTGGTGCAGATGTCATAGAGAAAAGAGTAGTTAAAGTGGCTTATATAGTCAGGACTCTGATTTTCTGCAAGTTTAATAAAAAATATTTTGAGAAAAATCTACACGGGCGATTTTTCCCAAAAAAAAAAAGATAATTAAAGATTCGTGTAATACAAAGCACATTATTGTTATGTCATCAAGGTACTTAACCAATCTATTTATATTGAGCTAGACAAACCAACAGTACAATACATGTTATCGTTGCATTGTATTAATTCTCTATTTCCCACGGTACCATGACTCACAAAATATCACGCACTTTACGTGAAAATATAACGGTACTTTACCAACCAAGGTAAATTCATCCCATTTTTATATCGTGAGAGAAATATTATAATTTATAATTAAATGCCATTGTTTAACATAAGTTTCGTCACTGGTAAAACCTGTCTTTCCACTTTGATGATATTGATAAATCTGAGACTATAGAAAAATATTGTTCGAATGTATGTTTATTTGGGTCAACTTATCATCGTATTAATATCGTCCCATGCTCCATCGCACAACTAAAACATCGTCCCATGCTCCATCGCACAACTAAAACATCTTATAGGCCTAGAAACCATCCTAGTTATATTGAGCTAGACAAACCAGCGTACCTATGTTATCGCTGTATTGTATTTTTCTCTATTTCCCACGTTACAATGACTCACAAAATATCACGCACTTTACACGAAAATACATTAACGGTACTGTACCAACCAAGGTAAATTCATCCCATTTTTTATATCGTGAGAGAAATATTATAATTTATAATTAAATGCCATTGTTTAACATAAGTTTCGTCACTGGTAAAACCTGCTTTTCCACTCTGATTTTATTCATAAATGTGAGACTATAGAGAAACATTGTTTTAATGTGTATTTATTTGGGTATCAGCTAACTTTTACGACTCAAACATCGTATTAATCTGATAAATTACAAAATAAATAATGCAATATGTTTCTTTCTAAAATTGTTTATACTGAATCGGCGATAGAATATTGAATAAAGCTGAATATGGTATGTCTTTGAAATATTATCATGAAGAATAAATAAAATTCCATCCATCTATGTTCCACCGTATGGAAAACCGGGAAAACTGCGGACAAAACCGAACGCCGGAAAGCTTGTTTGAATTAGTGAGTCAGCTGTGGCATAAGTTGTGGACTCAATGTTGTATATGATGAGTCGGCCAGTCGGCGACGAACGTCTGCGAAATCGGACACATTTCGTGCAGCGACATTACTGTCGTTTCTGCCCATTTATTTCGCGGAAAAATGTGACACAAATTGCACTGACATTTGGACATATAGTTAATGATCTATTAAAATGTGATTACGAATAACTGGATATTGCATTGGTTTGCTTATTGACAAAGATCTTGTTTTAGTGAAGGACGTAGACTTTGTAAATAATGTAAAGTGCTTTCAAAAGTGAACTTGTACTGTGATAAAACGTGAAGTTTTGTGTGTATCTTTTGATTGCCTCAATATTTTGAGGATTGAAAATGGGAGCCCGAAGAAGAAAACGTAGAGACGCAGGTTAATATTATTTTGTTTTCTTTATGTTGTTTTAAGAATCGGAGCTAATTGAAGCTTTCTGAGTGCTTACTGAAACTTTACCCTTTAACCCGGTTTTCGTGGCTTTGAAACATACTCATGGGGAGAGAAGAATATTTCGTGCTTCGAAAGGCACATAGAAAAGCATGATTATCACACAAACAATAGGTACATGGCATGAAATAGGATTATATACGGTTACATTTAATTAAGTATAAATCTCTTGAGGGTGTAATCTACTCACAAAACTGAACAACTTTTGTTAGAAACGTTTCTTTGAAATATGAAAAATAATATTCGTACTCCCATACTAAGTGACACACTTTTTCAGCATTTTTGTACGGGAGGACCAAATTTCTTTTTCATATTTCGAAGAAAAGTTTCAAACAAACGTTGTTCAGTTTTGTGAGTAGATCACACCCTCAAGAGATTTGTACTTAATAATATTATTTTGTTTTCTTTATGTTGTTTTAAGAATCGGAGCTAATTGAAGCTTTCTGAGTGCTTACTGAAACTTTACCCTTTAACCCGGTTTTCGTGGCTTTGAAACATACTCATGGGGAGAGAAGAATATTTCGTGCTTCGAAAGGCACATAGCACATGATATTGTATTTTAGAATATATAGGTGCAGTAAATCTAGATTAAAGTCAAACAGCGGTCACAAAAGCAAGTTGTCATAAATTGTCTATTGAAACAGAATTGGGTTCGTACAAGGAAACAAAAACTAAAAATTGGTAGGTAATAAAATAGAATATATAATTATCTTGTATCTATGCGATATTTAGCACCTCGAATACAAATCAAACAAACCGCAATGTAATCAATTTGATTTACCGTTTGTGTTCATTTTTGGAACTGTTGATTTGATGTATTGGAATTTTTAATGCACTTACAGAGCTATACCTATTATTCTCATAAATTGAAAATGAGAAATTCACCAGGGTCTGCTAGGCGCCCGTAGCTCAGTTGGCAGAGCGGTGGAACGCTGATCCACAGTCCCGGGTTCAAGTCCCGGCGGTCGCTAGTGAATTTTTCAATTTATGTTGATTTGATGCTCTCATTGTCTCTTATTCATAATTCATCATCTGCCTGCCCTAATCCTAAATCAGTTGGGGTCGGTGCAACATGTTTTGTTAGAGCAAAAAGCCACGTAGGAAAAGGATTTGGCAATGTTTTATGACCGGCCGCCTACCTGACGTTAACTCTCTTTGGGAATACTATTGTAGTCACTATGCGGTTGACCATAGTCGACAGATATTCAGTCGAGGTCAAAATCTCTGTGTCGGCTTTTACACAACACCCTGAGTGCACTAGGGGTGGCAGTATTCTTAGCCGCTACCACACCAAAACAGGCTGGCTAGGTACTATTCGAACATAATCCTTTGAATATGGCATAATGTTGAGGATGATGGCAGAATGTAATGTAGGTGTAGGTTATTACGTTTTCGCAATATTCCGGCTTTTGGGCGAATTCCTAGAACTTAGGTCGAATTATTGATTTTACCATATTTCTGCGACATACATACTAGCTGATGAGCCCAAAGCAGTCTAGGATTTAATATGTTAGTACGATATAAGTATGTGTAAGCAGGTAGGTACTAGGTACGAGTAGTTGCCGGCAAAGTATCGTAAATATGCTACCGTAAACCTTGACCTAACAAGGTCGTTTTGGATCGAACATCGTTGGGTTTGTTTTAATCTACGACATACGTCTATAAAAATGTTGACCTTGGTCAGGGTTCAGCACTCTGAATATCTATGTACTTACTATAATAGCCACAACAGTCCACTGCTGGACACGGACCTCCCCCTATATGGGGGATAAATGTCATACTCACCACGCTTGGTAGGCGGGTTGGCGAGCGCATTGCAAGGTATTGTATTTACAGAGAACGCTGCTGCCCATTACCAGGATTCATCCCTTAGTCCGTTTTTACGACACCCACGGGAAGATATGGGGTGGTGCTATTCTAAGCCGGCAGCACACGGCTATCGGCACGGCATCTATGTAAATACTAATTCTGAGGTTATAAGCTTTTACTACGGATTGCTACTGGAGCATATAAATCTAGGGAATGGTTAATTAAGTTTCTTTCATTTCCTACTTAATATTTCACGCTTTTATATTTTATATGAGAGAGAGTGAGAGTGATAGGTATAAGTACATTAAAATAAACCCTTATATTCTCTTTTCTACCCTCAGATCCGACGCCAGACTGCGAGCCCGGCGATTGCAAGAACGGCGGTCGCTGCGTGGCCACGCACTTAGGCCACGTGTGCGCGTGTGCCGGCCCGTACGGCGGCGCACGTTGCACCAGCTACGTGGGCCACGATCATGCTTGCGTGGAGCGAGCATGCCCCGTCACTACTGTCTGTGTATGGAGGAGTAGCTGTAAGTACTCATTCTTGTATCTTTGTAAGACGCCTACTGTACTCTTCTTGTATCTTCGTAAGTAGTCTACTGTCCACTAGTGGTTTATACGGTGCACCAGCTACGTGGGCCACGATCATGCTTGCGTGGAGCGAGCGTGTCCGTTCACTACTGTCTGTGTGTGTGGAGAAGCAGTTGTAAGTACTCTTACTTGTATCTTTGTAAGTCGTCTACTGTACGCTTACTTGTATCTTCGTAAGTCATTTATTGTCCACTAGTGGACTGTACGGTGCATTAGCTACGTGGGCCACAATCATGCTTGCGTGGAGCGAGCCTGCCCAGTCACTACTGTCTGTGTATAGAGGAGCAGTTGTAAGTACTCTTACTTGTATCTTGCAACTCATCTACTGTACTCTTACTTGTAACTTATCTACTGTACACCAAACTGTACTCATACTTGTATCTTTGTTAGTCGTTTCTGTACGCATACTTGTATCTTCGTAAGTCATCTCCTGTCCACTAGTGGTCTATACGGCGCACGTTGCACTAACTACGTGGGCCACGACCATGCTTGCGTGGAGCGAGCATGCCCTGTAACTACTGTCTGTGTGTGGAGAAGCAGTTGTAAGTACTCTTACTTGTATCTTTGTCACTACTGTACTCATACTTGTATCTTCGTAAGTCATCTACTGTCCACTAGTGGTCTATACGGCGCATGTTGCACTAGCTACGTGGGCCACGATCATGCTTGCGTGGAGCGAGCGTGCCCTGTCACCACTGTCTGTGTGTGGAGAAGTAGCTGTAAGTACTCTTAGTTGTATCTTTGAGTCTACTGTACTCATACTTGTGTCTTTGTAAGTCATCTACTGTCCACTAGTGGACTGTACGGCGGCGCACTAGCTAAGTGGGCCACGATCATGCTTGCGTGGAGCGAGCGTGTCCCGTCACTACTGTCTGTGTATGGAGGAGCAGTTGTAAATACTCATACTTGTATCTTTGTAAGACGTCTACTTGTATCTTCGTAAGTCATCTACTGTCCACTAGTGGACTGTACGGCGGCGCACGTTGCACCAGCTACGTGGGCCACGATCATGCTTGCGTGGAGCGAGCCTGCCCAGTCACTACTGTCTGTGTGTGGAGAAGCAGTTGTAAGTACTCTTACTTGTATCTTTGACTTATCTACTGTACTCATACTTGTAACTTCGTAGTCTTCTATTGTCCACTGGTGGACTGTACGGCGGCGCACGGTGCACTAGCTAAGTGGGTCGTGACCGTGACCGTACTTCCGTGGAGCAGCAGCCTTAAGTAAAAGTGCTATTTGGCGCTACACCAACACAAATACAGCGCAAAATAAAAATGCGAGCGAAGCGCTCTGGATTGAGAGTGGTGCTACACTGTAGGAACAGCAAGGGAAGCGAGCTCGTTGATAATTAAGATAGATTCTACTCGTTGCTATCGTATTGAGCGAGACATTTTATCTCAAAATTTCTGAAAGGATAGAACCTCAATTTTTATAAATATAAGACGAAAATCGACCTTTTTAGTATTCTATTAATGTCTATGGTTTGAATGAAAATCAGAACCAATCCGATTTTTATTCGTTTAACCCTAAAACTACTGGTAAAACCATTTAGTAACATTCACTCGTTATTCCTTTGCGAAATAGTTGACATGTTTCCTTATCGTTTTCCTGATTTGGATATCAGTCATTTTTCATTTGCATTTTTCTCATACAATAGGATATTTGCATTTATCTTATAAAGAGGTCGTTAAACTTATTGTAAAATGTGTTGCTTGTAAAAACGTGCAATTTATTTTTAATTTTAAAATGAAGGACGTAATATTTTATACTTTTTGTGTTATTGTTTGTTGATTTGTTACTGCAAAAACTTCATCAAGGAAATGTTTCTTTCTAGGGATAATTTTCATGATCTGTTATTGAGCAAAATAATCCCATTTCAAGTGGGACATTTCGTTACTGTGATATTTCCAGACTGGAGGGTATTTTAATAATTGGTTTAGTTAGTCGGTAATATTACCATCATCATTTTATGTTTACCCTTTGTCTTTTCTATTATACCTCTAGTGGTAGGTAACAGCAGAGGCTTGATTTTAACACATATCTCTCAGTTAGTAAAAAGCTTTAGCAGAAAGCTCCAAAGATGTAGATCTGTCATGAATTGAAAATAAGAGAGAAGAAAGTTGAAAAATTCACTAGCGGCCGCCGGGACTTGAACCCTGGACTGTGGGGTACCATCCCACTGCTCTGCCAATTGTCTCGAAGCAACGATCAAGCGACATCTATTATAGTAGTAGTTTTTACAACTAAATACTATGGTCAGTCCACATTATGAGTGGAATTCAAACCATATGATGAAGCTTTTTGCTTGATCTAATGTATTGGCTTATTTAATGCAGCTATACGTATAATTCTCGTAAATTGAAAATGAGAAAATAGGACAATTCATTAGTGATTTAAACTTCACAATTTCTTTCCAGTGAATCCCAACGACCCCGGGACGCCGTACTGCGCGTGCCTAGAGGGGGCGCGATGCACGCCGCCCCCGGTAGCCGCCCCCCCTTCACCTGCTACCAGCAGCGGGGGCGCTTGGGGCGGCGCCGTCGTCGCGCTACTAGTACTGGTGGCTGCTGTGTTGGGGGCGCTGTATGTCATACACAGGAAGAGGCAGTGAGTATCCTACAAGTACAGTGTAAGTACTAGAGGGGGCGCTGGTAGCCGCCCCCCCTTCACCTGCTACCAGCAGCGGGGGCGCTACTAGTACTGGTGGCTGCTGTGTTGGGGGCGCTGTATGTCATACACAGGAAGAGGCAGTGAGTATCCTACAACTACAGTGTAAGTACTAGAGGGGGCGCTGGTAGCCGCCCCCCGGAGCCTGCTACCAGCAGCGGGGGCGCTACTAGTACTGGTGGCTGCTGTGTTGGGGGCGCTGTATGTCATACACAGGAAGAGGCAGTGAGTATCCTACAACTACTACTTACTTCTACTACTACTACCACTACTACTACGCTACTAGTACTGGTGGCTGCTGTGTTGGGGGCGCTGTATGTCATACACAGGAAGAGGCAGTGAGTATCCTACAACTACAGTGTAAGTACTAGAGGGGGCGCTGGTAGCCGCCCCCCCTTCACCTGCTACCAGCAGCGGGGGCGCTACTAGTACTGGTGGCTGCTGTGTTGGGGCGCTGTATGTCATACACAGGAAGAGGCAGTGAGTATCCTACAACTACAGTGTAAGTACTAGAGGGGCGCTGGTAGCCGCCCCCTTCACCTGCTACCAGCAGCGGGGCGCTACTAGTACTGGTGGCTGCTGTGTTGGGGCGCTGTATGTCATACACAGGAAGAGGCAGTGAGTATCCTACAACTACAGTGTAAGTACTAGAGGGGGCGCTGGTAGCCGCCCCCCCTTCACCTGCTACCAGCAGCGGGGGCGCTACTAGTACTGGTGGCTGCTGTGTTGGGGCGCTGTATGTCATACACAGGAAGAGGCAGTGAGTATCCTACAACTACAGTGTAAGTACTAGAGGGGGCGCTGGTAGCCGCCCCCGAAGCCTGCTACCAGCAGCGGGGCGCTACTAGTACTGGTGGCTGCTGTGTTGGGGCGCTGTATGTCATACACAGGAAGAGGCAGTGA